CAAAAGAAAATATTTTGCCTTTTTTTTTTGGTCTTTTTGAGACAGGGTCTCCCTGTAGCCCTAGCTGTCCTGGAACTCACTATGTAGACCAGGCTGGCCTTGAACTCACAGAGATCCACCTGCCTCTGCCTCACGAGTGCTGGGATTAAAGGTGTGCGCCACCACGCCCGGCTATTTTGCCTTTTTAAACAAGAGGTTGAAAAGTAAACAAAGGAATTCCTGACCTAAAAGGAAAGGAATAAAGAAGACACTGAGAAGGCTGCCTGCAATGACCAGGCCAGCTACAGCAAGCCACCCTGAGCTCCTGACTCACCCATCTCTTGCTTAAGATCTGGCGTAAACTGCCCCCTCTACTGGAACACCTCCACCCACTCTGTGTGCTGAAAACTTGTCTTTTCTGGAGTCCAGTACAAGTTAAATGCTCTTCTACTGTACTTCAACAACACTCTCAGAGAGTACCCCTATATTATAATCATTTCATTCACTGAAGTAGTTAGTGGCTGTGATGGCTGATCTTAATTGTCAACTGGATGTATGGCATCAGGGATCAACTAAGTGATACACGTATGGGTGGGTCTGTGAGGGCAATTCCTGAAAGAATTAACTGAGAGGAGCCCCTCCCAAGAGCTAGAGGCACCTTCTGACACATGGCCCAGATATAGGGAGGTAAGAAGAAAGGACCCATCCTGCCAGCCTGCCTCTGCTTCTTCCTAGCATGTCCATCTCTGTTGCTGCTGCAGCATCTCCACTGCCCTCACTGACATCACACTCCAGGTTTGAAGCCCTTCAACATGTACTGAAGACCAGGAACTATTTAGGAATATTCCAAGCCTTCAGGACCTGACTGGGACTGCTGAGGGATTCAGCTTTGTGGGCTGGGCCACTATCAGTTCAGGTTCTCAGCCTTGCTGGCATGCAGGCAGCCACTGTTGGGACTATCCAGCCCAGACTGCATAAGTAAATTCCCTAGTCAGTCTCTCTCTCTCTCTCTCTCTCTCTCTCTCTCTCTCTCTCTATATATATATATATATATATATTTTTTTTATGTTCTATACCTCTAGAGAAAACTGCCTAATACAGTGGATGGGTGGTCTTTCCCATAGGTAATTATTTCCTTTAGAGCAAAAACTGCTTCTTCCCTGTTGTCCTCAGATCCCAGCAAAGTACTTAGAGTAAGCACTAAAGATAAATTTGTGAATTAATCACAAAGCAAAGAATCTAGATCTAAGCTAGCAAACTTTTTCTGTCTGTAAAGAGTCAGACAGCAATATTTTAGGCCTTGGAAGCCATATAGTCTCTCACAACTAGTCAATTCCGTCCTTTCAGTGAAAAATCAGCCAAAAATAACATAAATGAATGGCTATGGCTGTGTTCCAACACCTTCCTACCAAGTAGGTGGCAGGACAGATTTGGCCCAGAGACCATTTTGCTGATCCCTAGATTAGAAGGGCCTTTAAATTTTTTAAGTGGGGGCTGGGGATACAGCTCAGCAGTGTAACACTTGCCTACTTCGAGTGAGGCCTAAGTTAGATCAAGGACGACAGGGGGTTGTTAAAGGGAAGAAAAAATGAGATGATCAAGGAGACCTATGGTGTTAAACCTAAGCAGAGTTTAGGCTAAGCTGAACCTACATAACTCAATTATTATGATTTCATACTTTCAGATCCTTTCCTCTTTGAGTGCAGTAGAGCAAGAGGAAGGGCAATCACTGCAAAGCAGAGTATGGAACCCTGAACTAGGAGCTAAACTCAAAGGGAAACCATCGAGACAAAAAGGATCAGCCAGGTAAGAAAAGGAACAGAAATTCAGGATTAGAGGCACACATCTGTAATCTCAGCTACTTAAGAGGCAAGGAAAGACTCACTCTGAGGTAGGCAAGCACAGTTCAGTAACCTGGCATTCCACTTGGTTTCACTTGGCAGCCTAGGTCTCTTACCTATATGTACTGGGCACACACACCCCACAATGCACCTAGCAACTTGTTAGCAACCCCACTGCATCAGGGTACATGTACTCCCAACTCCAGACAATGGAATCCATTTCTCCTCCCCTTGAAAACCAACAGACTTAGACAAATACTATTTAATCGTTCTCTCCTTATATCTGAATACAAGACTAGAAAGGCTGATGTGGCCTGAACTAGTTTGGGGTGTATGGGCAATAAGGCAAAACTGTGTCCTCAAGTGAACTTTTAGGAAGAATCCCCTATTTACCATCTTATGCCTATGTTATCATTGGGTGTGCATGTGCAGATTTAACATAGGGAATGACCCATTCAGTAGAAAAAAGTATATATAATCTAAGCAAGCAAATAGAGAACTACCTAAATTATACCCCTTAGTAACTTCCTTTAGACTTCCTATAAAAAAGAAGCCCCCACTTCTCTGCTTCCTGTGCCTGCTTGAAGATGTGAGTGTTGGGACTGGAGAAATGGCTCAGCAGTTAAGAGCACTGGCTGCTCTAGCTTGCAGAGGACCCAGGTTCGATTCCCAGCACCCACATGGCAGCTAACAATCACATGTAACTCCAGTTCCAAGGGAATTCGAAGCCCTCTTATGGACCTCCATGGGCACTGCACAGTGTACTTACTTACATGAAGGCAATATAGGCATACACATAAAATAAAAATAACCATATTTTTTTAAAAAAGATGTGAGTTCTCTCATAAATTCCAATGGACTCTCATGTGAACATTTGAAATTTGCCATTTTGACTTTTTTCTGGTTCCCTGTCTAGAACTTGTAATGCTAATTACTCTTGCCTTTACTTCTCCTTCACATCTAGGTACCAGTCAAAGGCTTTCTTTTCCCCTTAGAGATAAGAGTTATGCAATTTGCGAGTCTTTTAGATAGACCCACTGAAGAAGTACCGCAACTGCCTTACCCTGCATCCTTGTTCAGCATAGAAGCCAGAGCGGTCTGCATCCCTATAGGGATTGGCAATTTTGGTAACTTCTTCAGAGGATGGTGTGATAATAGGAGATAGGAATTGGCTAGGCAGTTAGGGTAAAAAGACCCCAAAGAAAAGTAGCCAGTTTCTTGGCTAAAAGTCGAAATGTCCTTGGGCCTCTTAGCAACATACTCTGTTCCAAAGGCCAAAAATGTCAGAAGTATTTGGGAGCTCTTATCTAACCCCTAAAAGATTTTAGGGTTACCTCTTCAGAGGCGGGCGGTAGCAAAAAGCCCCATTAAAAAAAAAGAAAGAAAGAAAGAGTACATGAAGTTGTCAGGAAGAAGTGATGGGAGATGTTGGAGGGGAGGGAGTGTGCATGGATTTGATCAAAACACCTTATATGCATGTAAGAAATTCTCAATAAATTTTTTTAAGTTAATAAAAAAATTAACTTAAAATTTAAAAAAAAAGATGTGAGTTCTGAGCTTTCTGTATCAGCTACCTCATGTCATGCCTCCCATGCTATGGTGGAGCCTTTCTCCCTCTGGAACTGCAAGCCCAATGAACTCTTTCTTCTATTTAAAAAAAAAAAAAAAAGCCCAAGACCCTTGAGCCTTCTCACGCATATGGCCCTCTCCTCCCTTGCAGTGTTCTGTTGCTTTGCTTTAAATACAGTTTCTTCAGTACTTTGCAATCTATGTGGGCTTTTAGTTCATTCTTGAATAAGACACCAAGAACCTGGAAACACCTGGCCCAGACCCTGACCACCAGCAGGAGCTCCCAGAAGTTTGAGATGAGTCTAGGCAACAAACTAAGATCCTGTCTCCAAAAAAAGCAGCAACAGAATTCCAGTACTCCAGAGGCAGAGGCAGGCAGATCTCTGTGAGATGGAGGCCAACTTGGTCTACAAAGCAAGTTCTAGGTCAGCTGGGGTTACAGGGAAGGGAAACCTTGTCTGAAAAAGACTTTAAAAAAAAGGATCAGCAGCAACATACAGTTCATTTGTAGGGTGCTTACCTAGCATTGTGTGAGGCCAAGGGGTTTGAGTGCCAAAAGAAAGTAGAGAAGGGAAGTAAGGTGAAAAGGGGGAGGAGAAAGAAAGAGACAAGGGAGCGAAGGGAAACAAAGAGGACAGGCTTCTGAAGGGCAGGATGAAATTTTTTTTTTCGGTCCTTTTTTGAGACAGGGTCTCCCTGTAGCCCTAGCTGGCCTGGAACTCACTATGTAGACCAGGCTGGCTTTGAACTCACAGAGATCCACCTGCCTTTGCCTCCCAAGTGCTGGGATTAAAGGCGTGCGCCACCACGCCCAGCAACTTACTTTTTTTTTGAGACAAGGTCTCACTATGTAGCCTCAGTTGACCTAAAACTTGCTAGTAGACCAGGCAGACCTCGAACTCACAGAGATTTGCCTGTCTCTGCCTCCTGAGTGCTGGGATTAAAGATGTGCGCTATCATATCTGGCAGTGACTTGATAGAACTTTTAAACCTCTTCAACCATCCTCCTTTAAATTACCAACACTCAATTATACCTGAATGTTGGCAATTCTTAAACAGATACTATCATGAAAATACCTGAAGATAAGTACAGCATTTAGAACTTCATCACAATCTGAGGTGCACTGCACACCAAAACCATGTATATAGCTCTCCTCCAGGGTGAACCTTCAGCGACAACATTCCATGAGAGGATGACTGGGTGACCAGCTTTCCTCTTCCCCATTCCTCTTGCCTCTTCACAGCCGTTCAACACAAGACCTCCTTGGTTATGGCAACAGAAGAATGGACCCAAGAGGCTGGAGAGATGGCTCAGCAGTTAAAAGCAGTGGCTGCTCTTGCAAACGACCCGGTTTTGGTTCCCAGCACCCACAGAGTGGCTAACAATCATCCATAACTCCAGTTCCAGGGAACCCAATACCCTCTTCTGGCTTCTGCAGGCACTGCATACATGTGATGCATTTACATGCACGCAGGCAAAGCACTCATACACATAATACAAACACAGATCACAAAAAGAATGGACCCAAGCAGTCATGGAGCATAAGAATTCATCTTCTCTGGAACATTATGGTTTGTCTGAGAAGTTAGTGTCGCCCATCAGAGCCTTACTTTTCATGGTCCCTTCTTCTTCCTCATCTTCCGCATTGATTACCATGGTGCCCAGCTGTGATGGCAACGTGTCATCATGCTCAATCATAGTATTGGCTCCATCACTCAGGGTGCTGGCTGCTCGGACAGTGCCCATATCATCACCCACAGCTCGAACCATCGTGCCAGAATCCATTTCATCCTCCTCCTGCAAATGAAAAAAATCTCAAATTGGAGCTAACTAAGCAAAAGGTTGAATTTTCTGAAATACTGTCATTCATCCTAGTGCAAATACTTCCAGCTTTGACATTTCTTCAGGTTGGAAACTCACCTTAGAAAAGGAAAGTATTTATTCAACCAAAGATGGTCTAAGATTACCATCTGAGAACTGCGTATCTAACCCTAAGGAGCTTCTTCCTCCTCCCTTCTCAAACTTACAAAACAGATCAAAGTGGTGAGGGACTTTGTAAGTATAACAGCTACATGTGAAGTACAGAATCTCAAAAGGGAAAGCCAAGACTCCAAACTGAGGATGTGCCCTCTCAAATAAAAAGCTAAATTGTATAATGATATGGGGGCAAAAGAACAAATCTAAGCATTTTAAGAAGCACTGAGCGGGGCTGGAGAGATGGCTCAGCAGTTAAGAGCACTTGCTGTTCTTACAAAGGACCCAGGTTCCATTCCCAGCACCCACACAATGGCTCATAACTGTCTGTAACTCAGCAACAGGAGATCCAAAGCCCACTTCTGGCCTCCACAGGTATTGCAAGCATATAGTGCACTTACGCTACGCAGGCAAACACATACGTAAAATAAAACAAAAAAAGAGCAACAGCAGGAACACAGAATAAAGAACAAACACAGACTAAGCAAGGGTCCAGCAGCCCTGTGTGAGAGCCAGGACAAAGTACCACCAGAGTCTCAAGCTCCAGGCTGATGAAACACCATCCTCTTGTCTGTCTGAGCAATCACAACCCAGCAAGCATTTACACCCGAGGCCTGCTGCAATGCCTGCCACTCACTGAGTTTTCATCATCATCCTGATCCACTTCCCGCTGCTGGGCTTCCTGGCGTTTCAGCTTCACATCCATGGCTTCGTTAATTAAGTCTCTCAGTATTGACACTCCTTTGGCACTTTTGACAAATGGATGCTTAAATAAAAAAATTGGAAACAGTGGGTACAATTAATACTTCAATACAATGCATGGCACATAGTAGACTCCTGATGATATCTGTTCCATTGATCAGTGAATCTAATCTTTCTCTTCACTCTTGGGACAACAACGAAGCCATACTCACTTTGTAACTGAGTACACAGATTATCACTCAGGCTCTGACCATCTACTTTGGCCTGGTGGGAATGCTTACGCCACTTCTCTCTATCTAATCTAAAGATCCTTTTTCAAAAATGTTTTAGGTACATTTATTTTTGTGTGCATATATGTGTGTGTGTACACCACAGCACACATGTGGAAGTCAAAGGACAACTTGCAGCAGTCCATTCTCTCCTTCCACCATGTGGATCTTGGGGACAAACTCAAGTCCTCAGGCTGACTGGAAAGCACCTTTGCCAGCTGAACCATCTTGCCAGCCAAACCATCTTGCCAGCCCATAATCTAGAGATTCTTAAAAGGTCATTATCACTTCTTAGAGGAAGTTTGATAGTTTTGAATGCTTGTTGTACAATATTTGGAAACAAAGCATGGCGTGGGAGGCAGGGACACTGGCAAGCATGTTAAGTGTGATGCAGTCTTGCACAGTAATCTGTATATCTTCCAAACGTCCTGACATATATATCATACTTTAATAAATAGCACTGAACATTTTTTTCAAGAGATACAGAGCCCAGTGACTGGGAGGTGATTTTAGAGAAGGGGGCTTAAATGTTTGAATAAAGACACTGCTTAGAAATCAAGCCTTTGTAGGTTTTAAGATTGTTTTCAAGATTCAAAGGGTGCTTCAGCGTGTGGTAGGACTGCAGTACAGGAGATACTCTTCCATAAAACTCTGTCATTACTCCATTAGGACAGAAAAAGACCTTGGCAATATACTTGGAATAAGAGCTAGAATAAGATTAGCATACTGCTGTGTTCTCTTTACTTAAAAAGCATGTGAGATCCTTTCCTTCCTGCTCTTATCAGACAGCGAGTCTGGCCTGTTATTAGACATCGGTTTCATGCCATTCCCCTTCATTGCTTTTCTTCCTACAGTTAGTGAACAGAAGGTTTCTGATCTTTTTGCTGTTTTTATTTTGTTTTGAGACAAGGTCTCCCTATAGCCCCATCTAGCCTGGAACTTGATATGTAGAACAAGATGGCCTTGATCTCACAGAGATCTACCTGCTTCTGCCTTAGAAGCACTGGCATTAAAGGTCTACGCCACCATGCCTGGTCTATCTCTGATCCTCTTAATGCTTTTAAATCTAAACTCATTCACAATGCTAGATAGAGGTACCTGTCTCAGTAAGTCCACAAGTTGGGTCAAGTTGGAGTATTTCTACATAATTATATATCATTTTATTTCTTTATGCTTCTTTATTATGCCACAAACAGTATTGACTTTTTTAAAATTATAGGTCTACACAGATTTTTATTACCTATGAGTTTTATTATAGAAAAGTAATGGCATGCCAGGCATGGTGGCACACGCCTTTAATCCCAGCACGTACTCAGGAAACAGATCTCTGTAAGTTCAATGCCAGTCTAGTCTTCAAGTGAGTTCAAGGCCAGCTGGGGCTACAGGAAGACCCTGTCTCAAAAAAGATCAAGAAAAAAAAAGCAATGGCAATTCTTAGACAGACTGACCTAGACATGGTAGCACACTCACCCATAATCTATCAGTCAGGAGGCTGAGGCAGGAGTCAGACTGGACTACATAGCAAGTCCAAGCCCAGCCTGGAATATACAGTGAGATGCCAGAGAGAGAGAGAGAGAGAGAGAGAGAGAGAGAGAAAGAAATGTGGATGGAGCTCAGTGGTAGAACACTTGCCTAGCAAGTCCAAGGTCCTAGGTCCAACCCCCACCACCACAAAAATAAAAAAAACAAAATTATAATTATGGTGATTCATACCTGTAGGAGTTGTGTGGCTGTGGCTCTCTGCTCAGGGCTCTTTACAAGACACTGCTTCACAAAATCCATGAAGTTATCTGACCACAGCTCTGGCTTTCGGAATGTGGGAGGAGGGTTTGTAGGAATCATGAAGATTGCCTAGTTTAAAATGGAAAACGATAAAAAGACTTGGTAAAATGAAAATGATGCTTCAGGGGCTGGAGAGATGGCTCAACGGTTAAGAACATCGGTTGTTCTTGCAGAAGACCGGGTTCGAATCCCAGCACCCACATGGCAGCTAACAGTTGTCCCTAACTCCAGTTCAAGGGGATCTAATCTAACAGCTTCTTCCGTCCTCCACAGGCACTGTACAACATGGGTGCACTTACCTACACACACACAATACACACATACACGTAAAACAAAAATAATAAATAAAAAATATCTTAAAATAATAAAAAAAGAAAATGATGCTCGAATACATATAGAATTACATTCAAAGCTTGGTAAAATGATTTCCACTTATCCACTGATAAGCCCATCCAAATTCCAACCAAAGACCAAGCTTGTCAGCATAGAAAGTACAACCTGGGGCTGGAGAGATGGCTCAGCGGTTAAGAACACTGCTTGTTCTTGCAGAAGACCTGGGTTTGAAGCCCAGCACCCACATGACAGCTGACAACTGTCCGTAATTCCAGTCCCAGGGGATCCGACAGCCACTTCTGACCTCCGTGGGCACTGCACGACACAGGTGCACTTACCTACATGCAGGCAATACATGCCCACACATAAAATAAAAATTAAAAAGAAAAGAAAAGAAAGTACAACCTGACGAACTCCTTTCTTTTCCTTTCCTTGTCCCACAGGCAGTCCTGGTCCTAAACCTTACAAGGTCAGAGGGAGAGGGAGAGGGAGAGGGAGAGGGAGA